ACTCTCCTAAAATCTTGTTTTGAGATTTTGTACCATTGTTTTTATTTTTTTTTCTTTAAAATAAAAATAACTGATGTCAAAATAAATAAATAAATAAATAAAAAGTGATTAACCTGAAAACAGAGGGTCCGAACCAGAAGGCAGTGCTGTCATTAGTGACACATTCCTGCTGACTAGAACCACCAGTGCTCCGTGCATCGCTGTCCCATGGGACAGCTCATACCGTGGATCCCATCAATTCTATTGGTCTTTTTGCTAATCAAATTGGATGGTACGTGAACCAAATCTAGTTAGTCGCTTGAATTTGAATAGCTACTGTCCAAACATAAATTAACATCAGCTGGGCATGTTGATGTACACCTGTAATCCCAACACTCAGGAGGCAGAGGCAGGAAGTGTCCCATGAGTTTGAGGCTAACCTGGGCTACAAAATCATGTTCAAGGCCAACCTGCACTACATGATGAGGCCCTGTCTAAAAAGCAGTAATTAATATTGTTCATATAAAAATACTATTCATATCACCTAAAACTCATTACCATAATTACCAAATATATTTTATTGCCCAAAAAGATATTCATATTTGTGAATTTCTTTAAAACATCTAACACAATGGTGGCTGATTTGTGCAGAGCATGCAAAACATCAAAATACAGCTAGCAAAAAAAAAAGGGGCCGGGGAGATGGCTCAGTGGAATAAGCGCTTCCCTGGCAAGCGCAAGGGCCTGAGTTCAATCCCCAGTTCCACAAAAAAAAAAAAAAAAAAAAAAAAAAAAAAAAAAAAAAAAAAAAAAAAATACAGCTAGCATTTTTTTGTGGGCACAGTGGCCCCGTATTTCAGATAGCCGTGCAGGCACTGCTGGCAGGTCATGCCAGTGGGATGATCAAATTAAAATCAGAGCAGTTGGCAGCCAGACGTACAAGTTACAGCCCCATATGTATGTGCTAATGAGAAATTCCTTAAAAACAATAAGGGAACAGGAGAAATGGATCCAGCAGCTTCTAGGGGATGCAAAGAAGATAGGCCTAAGATTGACTGGAATTTAGCATTAGCATTAAAGCAGTAATAAAAATCTTACCAACTAAGAAAGTCCAGGTCCAGATAGGTTCACTGCAAAATTCTAGGAAAAAAAAAAATCAGGGAAGACCTAATGCTAATACCCCTTAAGCTCTTTAATGGACATGAAAGGGAAGGAGTACCCCAAAAATTATTCCTGGGGTTGCCCTAATTCTAAAACAAGACATGAATTCAACAAAAAAGAGAACTATAACCAATCTCTTTCATGAACAGGGACACTAATCATCTTCAACAAACAATGCAATGATTCATCAAAAAAGTAAAACATCATGAGCAAGTAGGCTTCATACCAGGCATGCAAGGATGGTTCAAAATATGCAAATCAATGGATGTGATAAACAGAATGATAGGATTGGGCTGGGGAGATAGCTCAGAGGTTTAAGTGTCTGCTAGGCAAGGGCAAGGGCCTCAGGTGAAGGGCCTGGTAAAAAAATAAATAAAATGAAATAAAATAAATCACAGGATAATCTAAATAGAAAAAGCTTTTGAAAAACTCCAACACTGGGCTGGGGAGATGGCTCAGTGGAATAAGTGCTTACCTGGCAAGAGCAAGGGCCTGAGTTCAATCCCTGGTTCCGGGGGGGCGGGGGGGGAGGGAATTGAAAAAGAAAAACTCCAACATCCTTTCACATAAAAAATACTGAAGTTGTCTACAGTTACAAGATCATGAGGAGTTTTCTTTGTAATCATCGGAAGCTTATAATATTTAAAGAACCATTAACAGGCCAATTAAACGGACATGTTTATACTGAAAAAAAATACTGAAGAGAGAAACTATTGCTCTTCCTCTTCCTGTGAGCTGCCTGAGGTGACCTGTGAAAATGGTTCGCTACTTTCTTGGCCCAGAAAACCCCACAAAATCATGCAAATCAAGAGGCTCAAATCTTTGCGTTCAATTTAAGAACACATGCGAAACTGCCCAGGCCATCAAGGGTATGCATATCCGAAAGGCCACGAGTATTTGAAGGATGTCACATTAAAGAAGCAATGTGTGCCATTCCCATGTTACAGTGGTGGAGTTGGTAGGTGTGCCCAGGCCAAACAGTGAGACTGGATGCAGGGTTGGTGGCCCAAGAGTGCCGAATTTTTACTGCACATGCTTAAAAATGCAGAGTAATTAATGCTGAACCTAAGGGTTTAGATGGAGATTCTCTGGTTATTGACCATATCCAGGTGAACAAAGCACCCAAGATGCACTGCTGCCATACTTATAGAGCTCATAGCCGGATTCACCTGTACATGAGCTCCCTCTGCCACATTAAGAGGATTCTTACTGAAAAGGAACAAAATATTCCTAAACCAGAGGAGGAAGTTGCACAGAAGAAAAAGATATCCCGGAAGAAACTGAAGAAACAAAAACTTTTGGCACAGGAATAAATGAAGCATAAAATAAATGCAAATAAAATTAATGTTGTTGGCTAAAAAAAAAAAAATACTGAAGAAAATGCATATTGAAGCACCTTACCTCAGGAACAAACCAAGAATGTTTGCTATCATCCCCCAACTCGAGACGGTGCTAGAGACATGCACAAGAGCAACTGGGCGAGAAAAAGAAATATAGCAATGGATGTTACAGGAAAAGAAGTTGCCAGATTATCATTATTTGCAGAGTACATAATCTCCTATATAGAAGATCCCCTGAATACTGTCAAAGGATTCTTAGAATTAAGAACCAAGTTCAATCATGTAGCAGGTCACAGAATCAAGACACAAAAATCAATAGAGTTCCTGTACACTAGTAGTGCACCTGTTGAGAAAATATTTAGGAAAAATATCATTCACAGGAGCACCAACACAAATCAAGTACTTTGGAATTCACCTAAATAAGGAAGTCAAAGATCTCTACAGTGAAAATGACAGGACTCTGAAAAGGGGAATTATAGTGGACATCAGAAAATGGAGAGGTTGGGGGCCGGGGAGATGGCTCAGTAGAGTAAGTCCTTCCCTGGCAAGCGCAAGGGCCTGAGTTCAATCCCTGGTTCTGCAAAAAAAAAAAAAAAAAAAAAAAAAAAAGAAAGAAAGAAAGAAAGAAAGAAAGAAAGAAAGAAAATGGAGAGGTGGCTGGTTATGGTGGTGCACGCCTGTAACCTCAACACTTGGGAGGCTGAGGCAGAAGGGTGGCTGTGAATTGAAGCCAACCTGGGGTCCCGAGTGAGCTGCAGGCCAGCCTGCACTACACAGCAAGACTGTCTCCAACAACAACATTAAGAGCAACAACACGTGAGCAAAAGAAATGGAAAGATGTCCTCTGTTCCTTAATAGGCAAAACTAGTATGTCAAAATGACTATACACCCAAAATTGATATACAGATATAATACAATCCTAATCAAAATAACAATAGCTAGGGGCTGGGGAATTAGCTCAGTAGAATAAGTGCTTGCCTGGCAAGTGAAAGGGCCTGAGTTCAATCCCTGCTAGAGGAAGGTGTGAGGCACCACAATTCCAGGCTTGAAGTTATATTACAAAGCTATTGTAATAAAAACGGCATGGTATACCAGCACAAAAAGACACAAGGGTCAGTGGAATAGAATAAAAGATGCAAAAACAACCCCAGGCACATTTAGCTATTTGATCTTTAACAAAAGGGCCAAAAACATTCACTGGAAGAAAGAAACCCCCTTCAGTGCATGGTGGTGGGAAAATTGACAGGATTGAGTGCAAATCCATCATCTCTCACTATGTACTAAAATAAAATATAAATGGATCAAAGAATTAAATGTTAAGATAGAAATGCTTAACCTGCTAGCAGATAAAGTAGGTAAAACTTTGGAACTGGGGATTGAACTCAGGCCCTTGCGCTTGCCAGGGAAGCACTTATTCTACTGAGCCATCTCCCCGGCCCCTTAGGTAAAACTTTTGAAGTCATAGGTGTGGCCAGGGACTTTCTGAAAAGAATCCTGGTTCACCAGAAATAGTACCGAGAACCACCTAATGGGATCATATCAGACTAAAAACCTTCTGCCCAGAAAAGGAAAAAAAAAAAAAAAAAAGATTGAAGAAAGACACCCTACACAATGGGAAGGACCTCAGCAATTAGACTCCCCCAGCAGAATAAGAGACCCAATCAGAAAATAGTGAAACGAACAGACACACCAAAGAAGTATATAAGTGGACAACAAATATATGGGAAAATGCTCAACATCACTATCTATTACAGAAATGCAAATCCAAATAACACTGAGATTCCATCCTGCCCCCAGAAAGCACAGCTATCATCCAGAAATCATATAATGTTGGTGAGGATGAAGCACAAAAGGAACCCTGACCTGCTGGTAGTGGAAACTAGCGCAGGCACCATGGAAGCCAACATGGAGATTCCATAAAAGACTCGAACTAGAAATTCTGTTTGACCCAGGTATTCCCCTTCTAGGCAGCTTCCCAAACGAGTTAAAGGCATACTGTTACAGCGGTGCATGCACACCCATGTTTATAGCTGCACAGTCCTAGTGACTACATTTCTTCTTTGTCTCTCTGGGATGGGTTCTCACTATGCAGTTCAGGCTGACCTTGAGCTCACTTTGTAGCTCAGGCCGGTCTTGAATTCATGACCCTCCTGCCTCCTGAGTGCTGGCATCGCAGGTGTGCTGTACTCCACACCTGACTTGCTAAAGTTTGCAAGCAGTTTATCTATCTATCTATCTATCTATCTATCTATCTATCTATCTATCTATCTATCTATTTTGCAGAACTGGGGAAGCAGTTTAAATATCAATCAAGAGAGGAATGGTCAAAGAGGGTGGTTGTGTACACACAAGGAAGACCTACTCTGCCATAAGGAAATGTAAATGTGAGTCATTTGTACCAAATGAGTGAACCTTGAGACGGTAACTCAGACCGCAGAACGAAGTCAACCAGATGCACACGGCTGAGCAGGGCATGATTTCTCTTAGATGAGAATCTCACATTATGAAGAGTCAAGTACTAGACAGCTAAAGGGGCGTAGGGAGGCACAGGCTTCTCCCGTGGGAAGGGAACCCGAGCTGGAGGCAGGGCGAGGAGGGATGAGGAAAGGGTCTAAGACGATGTCTACGCAGGTACCGACTCCACACAAGGAAGGGAAGGACGGTGTGCTGCAAACGAGGACTAATAAAAATTTTAAAAAATGAAAAGACGAGTAGAATCTAAATCTGAAACGAATGAAAGAGAAGGGATTACCAATAGAGCAAAATTCAATAAAACTGTAACTAAGAAAACACAAAACATCCATGCATAAAGAGTTAATTTTAATGCAGGGCGTGGTGGCACACGCCTGTAACGTCGGCACTCAGGAGGCTGAGACAGAGGATATTGCGAGGCTGAGACGGAGGATATTGCGAGGCTGAGACCAGCCTGGGCTGCAAGGTGAGCTCAAGGCCAGTCTGGGCTGCATAGTGAGACCCTGTCTCAAGAAGACCAAAAACCACTTGACATGCATGTCGACCCTCCTCCAGCTGCTGCTTTCAGGCTTGGGCTATGTCAGCCAACTTAACTCATTTGGTACTATGTCAGTACCAAAGCAAAATACTCCTTTGAAAAAATTGAAAAATGGCTCTGTCTGTGATTATTTTGGACTCTGGGTCCTCCTACACTGCCCAGGTAGGCCACACACTGGGGACCCTCTAGCCTCAGCCTCCAGAGTGCAGGAAGCTACGCATGCTCCTCCAGGCCTAGCACACGCACACACACTCGGACACATACATGCTCACACTCACACTGGAACACACACTGCGCCCCAAACACATTCCTCCCCTCAAGCAGAACCAGACAGAACCTTAGGTTGGGAAGGAGGGTTTGGCCCAGAAGGCCGGGGCCCCAGGGTATGGGTTTCTCATTCAGAGCTTGGCCGGGAGGGTGGGACACCCCCTGGTGCATCCTGGTGTGGCAAATCCACTAGGGTCTCCATCCCCTTCCCCACCCTGTCCACCCAGCACCCAGGGAGACCACAGGTGTGACCCAGGCTGCTGCCCAGTCACAACCCCTCCATCCCCCACCATAGACCCCAGAGCCCTAGGGAGCCGCCTGGCAGCAGAAAGGGGAGAAGCCAGTGGAGCAGGGTAGAGAAGAGCGGGGAGAGGCCCAGCCTCAAACCTGAAGGTTCCCATGCACAACGCTTTGAAGTGTGTGAATCTGTCTTGAAAGCCCTTACCTGGGGGGCCACAAGCTGCTCACAAGGAGGACAGACAGGGACAGCTGCTCCCTGGGACCTGATGGAGCAAATAAGGAAGAAGGAAGTGGAGCCAGAGCCAACACCTGGCCCAGTCCTGTTCCTGGTCCTTGTCACCAGGTGACAGGGTGGCCTGTCAGGAATGGAGCCAAACCATCCACAAAGTAGTTTGGCACTCCCTAATTTGTGCCACCAGACTAGACAGGAGCGGTGCTGCCACCCTCTGTGGCCTTGGGTGGGCCACAAGGTAGTCACTGGAGAGTTGCAAGTGGGCACAACACTGAGATTCCAGGGCCAGGGGGATGGCTCAGTAGCATAGGTGCTTCCCTGGCAAGCGCAAGGGCCTGAGTTCAATCCTCGGTTCTGAAAAAAAAAAAAAACAAAACACTGAGATTCTATCTCACTTGTTCCTGGACTAGCTGGATGGTTCTGTCCCCTACTCTCTCTGCAGGGATCGCAGCTGCAGGGTTTCACCTCTGGCCTGTATGTCAGGCCTGAGCTGAGTCTGGAGGGCACAAGATGGAGTACGGTGGGAGAGGCAGCTCTCCCACACACTCACCAGGCCTGGGCTAGGACTGCATCATGGGGTCACCAGAACACAGCAGAAATTCTCACTGGGCGGGCAGGGTGGGGTGGGGTGCTGCGGAGTGGAGGGGGTCCCCAGGGGGTGGAAGAGGGTCTCACCTGCACTGTGCCTGGGCTGGGACCCTCCATCTCACTTGGAAAGAATGAATGTCATGGAGGAATCAGCCAATAGCAAATGCCGGTGGGGCTGCGGGAATAAGGGAGCACTTCTCCACTGTTGGTGGGATTGTAGACTGGTGCAACCACTGTGAAAATCGGTGTGGAGGTTCCTCAAAACACTAGGGCTGGAGGTCCCATTTGACCCAGCTATTCCCCTACTTCTATCTTCCTAGAACTAAAACCATCCTACTATAGCACCCATATGGACAGCAGCACGACTCGGGATAGCTAGATGCTGGAAACAACCCAAATGCCCATCAACCAAGGAGTAGAGAAAAAAAGTTGTGCTCCTTTTATGCCATGAGTACTACTCAGTCATAAAGAAGGGTAAACTAAAGACTTTTATACGTGAATGGATGCACCTTGAGACCACATTCATAAGTGAAATAAACCAGATGCAACGTGCAAACATCGTATTGTCTCCCAAGGGTGAGAAGTTGAAAAGGTAAAGAAGATAAAGAAGATAAAAAATGTACAATAGATAGTATGAAGTGAGAAAATCATCAATAGGAAAGAGAAAGAGAAAAGAAGGAAAGGGGAATATATATATGTATATATATATATATATTCCCCTTTCCTTCTTTTCTCTTTCTCTTTCCTATTGATGATTTTCTCACTTCATACTATCTATTGTACATTTTTTATCTTCTTTATCTTCTTTATATATATATATGATAGTTAAGATAGTTATAGTACTAATTTTCTTAGTTTATCAAAAAGGAATTGTGTTAATATTCTTTGGACAATTAAATGCCACTTTCTTGCACTCTCATAACTAATTTAAAGATAATACTATGCAATGTATTAAACATTGCTAAAAAAAAAAAATTTCCAGTGCATCCAGGACTTTGAGGGCCTTAGGAAGGTCCTATCTCTAGATAAAAGGTTAAAGAAATGGCTGGGTGGGTAGTTGGATTTAACCTCGGCACAAGAAGGAAGGAAGAAAGGAAGGAAGGAAGGAAGGAGGGAGAGAAGGAAGGAAGGAAGAAAGGAAGAAGAGAGAGAGAGAGAGAGAGAGAGAGAGAGAGAGAGAGAGAGAGAGAGAGAGAGAACAAAAGAAAGGAAGGAAGGGAGGAGGGCAGGCAGGCAGGCAGGCAGGCAGGCAGGCAGGCAAGCAAACTACCAAATCCCTGGCTCGCGGCAAGGTTCTGCAGAGCCAGCAGTGTCAGGAGGGACGTTGGTCAGGGCTACAGGCTGCTTCTCAGTACTGGGCTTTCAGGCTACAAGCAAAGTTCCCTCCTAAAAATGAACTTGACAGCCTAGGACAGGTGGCACACATCTGTAATCCCAGCACTCAGGAAACTGAGACAGGAGAGTCGTGAGTTCCAGACAAGCCTGGGCTACAAAGCGAGCTCAAGGCCAGCCTGAGCTGTGTTGGGAGATCCTGTCTCAGAAAGGCTAAAACAAAGTAAAATAATATAAAATGAAAATTGAAAAATGGGGGTTGGCCAAATAACTCAGTGGATTAATGAGCCTGCAAGCAGGCATAGGGACTGGGGGTTTGATCCTGGGCCTGCTGTGCCAGCCCCGCCCCCAGGGCATGCTGAGAGGGCAATTGAGACTGGGCACGGTGGTGCGTGCCTGTAATCCCAGCTCTTGGGAGGCTGTAAACAGGTGAATCACTATAGTCCGATCTAGTAGTGAGACCCTGAAAACCTTGTAGACCCTTTTCCAAAATACAAAAAAAAAAAAAAAAAAAAAAAAAGGCCCTTTTTTGCCTGATCATTTTGGAATCAGGGTCTTCCTGAATCTCCCGAGCAGGCTACACACTGGGGACCCTCTTGCCTCAGCCTCCACAGTGCAGGGAGACACGCATGCTCCAGCAAGCCTAGTTAAAAGGGCACTCGGGTGGATTCCACAGAGAAAACAAGACATGCACAGAGTTGCACGCTCACACACACTCAGAAACACACACTCACACTCACACACTATGCCCCAAGCACTTTCCTCCCCTC